ATGCCCTGGCCCCGCGCTCTTGGGAAAAGTAGTCTTGGGCCCACGTGGAACCCCCCCATTTGGCTGCAGGCTGCGGAGGAGCAGTGATGCGGTCACCAGGGCTCTCACGGCCTGAGAGCGGCTCCCCAAGGGCGCTGTGAGGACCTCCAGGGCCCGAGGTGAGCTGTGCCCACAGGGCCACCACTCTGAGGGGCCGAGTCCTCTGCCCCAGGAATAGTCCTACGTCCCTGCAAAGGAGGTGTGGCCACTATGTGGCCCTGCGCAGCTGAGCACCCACCCCATCCAGGCACAGCTTGGGCAGGAGTCTCAGCTCTGTTCCTGGGGGGCAGTGTGACTCAGTGTGAAGGGGGGTGTGCACTCTGCTCCCCACCTCAGAGGGAAAGCAAGGAGCTGTTAGTCCTGTGGGACCCTCTTACCAGGACCCTCCACCCCTCACTGCTGCATTGGGAAAGCTTCTTTGGCTCACCTGGGTGTCGGATCGGGAACAGGGGCGGGGGCTTCTCTTTCTCAGCCCGGACTGCACCTTTGAGGCTCACGCGGAGCTTTGGGGTCAGTGGTCAGGGGCACTTGAGAAATCGGGATTTCTAAGAGCCCTCAGGTGATTCTAACGGGCAGCCAGAGCTGAGAGGCACCGAGCTGGGCGGTGCAGCAATGGAAGTTTGGAGTAGAAAACTGGGGCCCACACAGCTCCCTCTGGAGGGCCCTAGGGTCCGCCTCAGGGTCCTCCGAGATTAGGCTTGTGGCCAGGCTAGTTCAGTGGCTTGGAGCCTTGGTTCACCTACTGACCCACGGGCAGCCCTGGCATAGGTTCTGCCCTGAGATCCTCCCGTTGCTCGGAGGACTCTGCCAAGGCCCCCAATGCGCCCCTTATCCATAAGCTCAGTAGGCTGCCCAGGTGGCTTTTCCCTGCCACTCCTCCCCCACGTTCCCGGGCTTGTGGTCCACTCCTTTGTCCTGGAATATACACTGATGTTAAGTACACACACACACAATCAGGAGTTGAAATCTTAATATGCCCAAGTCCCAAATAGCTCCGCGGGCAGCCACAATTCTCAACCACGTGTCCATCTGCTTGCATGCAGAGGTGTGAAGCAGTTGGGGGCGAGGGGCAATGCCAGAGGAGGCAAAAGGCAGAGAGGGCTAGGGAGCATAGTGAAGGAGTGACAAGGGACAGGGACACAGCTGGAGTCCAGACTGGGGCGGGGGACTGCGGGGGCTGGGTGACTTCTCTGGCAGGCTAGCGGCTCTGCTGTGGAGAGGGCATCTTGGGGCACAGCACAGATTTGCTGTGGGGGATTTGGGTTTTGTCTCTGGGTAACTATTAGGTTTCCTGGGCTGACACACACACACTTCCTGTTGTTTGGGATGAAGAACATGGCTGGTAGAACCCTGTATCCCTGAGACAGAAGAGAGACTGCAGAGCATGGTAGCACCCTAGGGCTATGGGCTTAGGCACACCCAGCATACACAGCGCCTGTGGCTCTCAGGAGGTGGGGTGGGGGTTATGGTTCTCCCGGGTTGCATTTGGAAAGGGCTGGAATCCTTGTGGGAGGGTGATGAGCCAGACTGCTTCTGACAAACAGGGGGCCTGACATTGGGCAGAATGCGTTTCTAGCTCCCCCTGGGGTGAAGGTCCAGGGCTCCTGAGATCTTGCAGCTCTGATCTCATACTCCAGCAGCTGGAGTACCAGAAGCAAGGTGCTGGCATGAAGCGGGACAGTGGGTAGAGAATACAGAGATTAGAGGGACGACAGGCGCTGCCAGTAGAGAAGCAGTCCATCCACAAGAGGGCGCAGTTTTACATGTTTATTTTTGGCAGGCAGGAAGGAAAATCATTGCAAATCTCTCCCCCTGAAACGTGCACATTCCACATGTAGTATTTCCCGAGTAATGCTGGATCGCTTATCACATTCAAATGTCCAACAGGAATCCACGACTACCCAGACACTAGCATCTCCACTACTTGGTGGGGGTGGGGGTGGGTTAGTCTGCGGAGAAGCTCCCTGGAGAATGGAACAGGAACAGACACCATCAAGTTACAGTAAAATAGGAACAGGAGCAGCCGGTGGGTTTTGCACAGGTAACTACCTGCAAGCACGTCAAGCCCTCCACTCTGCTCAACCCTGGCATGCCCCTGTCCATCACAGCACCTTTAAAAGCGGAGGCACAAACGTCACGAGTGTTTGACCATAGGGCTGTGTGGTTCTGGATTTTATTAGAAAGCCATCTTTAAAAATACAGGGTTGTAAAATGTTGCCAGGTTATAGACTTACAGATTTCTTTTCTACACCTGAAGTTCAAATGCCGCAACCGTGACAAGTCATTGTCATTAGGGCATCCATAGTCATCTCACTGAAACCATGTCCAAGGAGCTTCCCCACCAACCATCAGCCAGGGTGGTGGTCTTTTCTAGTACACAAATGCATTGTGGACCAACAACTGATGGGTGAAACCACAGACCCACATGTGGGATTGCAGAGCAATGGAAGACAGAGCAGTAACAACCTCAGACGTGCCTGGGCACCTCCACTCGAGGCCCAGCCAGAGATACAGCATCATAGGGGCCAGAGTTCATGACCCAAGGTACCCTGTCCCAGATCTTAGTGTAAAAAACACTGGTCCAGAAGACTATGTTTTGACCTGATACGGAAGGGACCATGGACACTCAGGAGGTCAGATTCCGCTTTTGGCTAGAGTTAGGGATGTTTTGGTAACATGGGAAGTATATGGCACAGAGAAATAGCTAATTGGTTTCAATTAGGTTTTTAAAGCCCACAATTTAATAAAAGGTAATAATTAAAAACAATACCCGTATTTACCTTAAAAAACATAAACCCCAAACATTCATCTCATTTCTTGGCCTTATGTTAGAAATCTATTGCTTCATTTACATGTAGATGATTAAAAATAGATAGATAGAAATATTTTGACTATGTACATAAAGCAGAATCAAGAATTAAAATAGAAGTGGAATTTTGGAGTGTGGTCAAATAAGGTGCACAGAATCCAGAACCCTCAGAGGGTTACTGGTCCTCCCGAGACGTTCTGGTCTGTGTGGCAGGAACCGGGCTCCATCCACAGCTCCGCACTGGGTTGGTGCGTGGTGTGCAGGGTTTCAGGAACTACTAGAAGTGTCTGGCTCAAGCCTGCCAAGTGTCTCCACTCCATCTGGCACTATTTATAGGTTCTGGCCCCCTGAACTATTCTAGAATTTCTGTCCTCTCTGCCCCCCATTCCAATCAAGACCTTGTGATGCTTAACAAAGAAGGGGTGCAGGTGAGGGTCTAAGGCTCTCATCAGGACCGAGTTCTGTGTGGATTTCAACACATGACAGACACGTGACTGCAATATTCAAGACATTTAAGGCAGAGGGTTCATTTAATGACAAGTTTTCCAGATCAAGGTGTATGGTGTGTGTAGTTCTGCCACGTCACTGTCATTATCTGTGGTCACACCCAGCAAGGGATTGTCTCTACTTTAATTGGCATGTGTATGACGGGGCTTGGAGTACTCAGCATGTTGGGAGACTTGGTCATCCCTGAATACTTACTTCTGAACGCAGGGCAGTCCACAGACCAGAGTGCTGCTGGGAGGGCGTGACTGGCAGCTGGCTTCATTATTTTGTGAATGAAAGCAAAAAAGAAACTTTACTCGACACCCAATTTCCAGTTTTGTCAGTGCCAGTCGCTCCCACCAGAACTCGGGCGGAGGCCCAACCCACAGAGGACTAAGGCAATGGGGCCAACACAAAAGGGTTCTTTATCATTACTTTTAAGAGCAATACTTTATAGACTGCGCTGTTGTCAAACAAGGAACGTGGCACTGCTTACAACAGCTCCGTGGGAAAGGCTGCAAAGGGAGCCTGTCTTCTCCCTGACTCTGGACAGTGAGTCTCCCCTCTAGACGGAGGTCCCCAGCCCCCGCCCAGGAACAGATCGCGCTTCGGAAGAGAAGACTGAGAGATGCACCGGGGCTACACCCACGCGGTGGACGGCTGAAGCCACAGGTTCTCACGAGAGAACAGTCGGCTCATCACGGGACCTGGTGCTGACCGCGGTTTAAAATGAACACCATCCTCATGGGGTGCGCTGGCCCTCGTCTGTACCCAGAGCTGGGGAGGGGACAGTGGTGCGTCTGCAACGGGTGGGACTCCCGCTTCTAACCCTGTCCGAGTGTGTGGCTTAGCAGTGAGCAGATTCTGAGCATAGGCACAGTGGCAGAGAACAGTGTGACAGCCGCTGGTCAGTTCCATTTGGTGGCAGCGTGGTAGCAGCAAAGAAAATCCCCAAACAGCTCCATGTGAATCCAGCTTTTGGAAAGATTCAGAAATCAATAAACAAAGATATATTTGTTTTAAATGCAAGGGTTTGAGTTTCTTGTAACTGCTCTACCCCCAACAACAACAACAAAACAAAAGACGTACAGAAGTGTGGCAGTAGTGTGAGAGCAGAAGTGACAGGATGTCCCTTTTCAAGGGAAAAACGTGACCCCTGGACCAATCTGTCACCATCCAAACTCATAGGAATATAAAAGAATCTACTGTTTCCCAAAGCGCTGAGCCACACGATCGCAGACGCATCCCAAGCTGGGTCAGAAATGAATGGAGACACGGACACCGGCACAGAAACTCCTACCAGGAGCCTGAGCCCACGGCCGGCCGCAGTGTCGGGCAGACCCCATGGGAGACAGGCTCCTGCACTCACCCCCATACCTCGCCACCCCCCACCCCCAGGTTCTAGAAAATTGTCATCTTTATCTTTTTAGAGAATCTAAGATAATAAAAGACTAAAAGATGTCTGGAAATACATTGTATAGAAAAATTAACTCTCAGCTTAAAATAACATTCAAAAAGGCACTTCATCCTGTAGGAAAGAGTTCTGAGTTGGGTCAGCTGCTCTGAGCGGGGACAGAAGGGGACACGTTGTCTGCTTGGAAGGGAAGACAGTTGAAAGGAAGTCTGATAGATACTGAGCTTTTTTTTTTTTTTTTTTTCCTTTTTGGTATGTATTAAGAAAAGCAAATCCGGTAAAATGCATGTCCCTTTATGAAATTCATTAAAAGAGTTCATTTTAAAATAGTTGTTTCTGTTTTTAAAATATAAAACAGGTAGGTATGGCCACATTCACCCCGTGGCCTGAAGCACGGAGTGTCCTCTCTTCCAGCTCCCGGGCAGCCGAGGCCAGGCAGGCCCCCAGGGCTGGGGTTCGAGGCGCAGGCGGCGGGCGAGCCGGGGCTACCTGCTGCAGAGCCTGTGCAGCATGCTGTACACGTCATCCTCCCGGCTCAGGCCCTCGAAGAAGGGGATGAGGTCCAGCAGCTCCGTGTCCGTCATGTCATCGAACCAGGACTGGACAGGCACCTGGAAGACAGGATGTGCGGGGCAGCAGGGCTGTTCCGGGGCTGGGCTGCTCCGAGCCTGCCTGGGTGCCCGTTTTATGCTAACATTTTCTTCACTAAGGAGGCCAGGTGTCCGGCCATCACCACACCATCATCTTGTGTGTCCCCCACCCCAGCTAAGATCAACCCGCAGCAACCTGGTTCGGCCAGTCTGCCTGCCTCTGCCTGTTTTGTTTTCCTGCCGCAGAAAAGGTGGCCGGGGTGCGGAATATGTGGGAACTAGCCTTCTACTTGCTAATGTCAGAAAACTCTTCCCTTCAAACCAACTCTCTGCACCTCAGAGAACCGGGGTCAGAGGACCTGCCCACTACCTACACCAGGGAGCCTACGTAGAGGGGACAGGAGGGGCCACTTGGGGTTCCTGTGCCATGTTGTGTGGCAGAGAGAAGTGGGGAGCCTCCATGCTCAGCACTGAGCAGTCTGAAGGAGAAGTAAACATTTCAGGACCTTCTGAAGCCATGGCCGAGACGGGACTTCTCTTTAGTTTTAGACAAAGGGGTGGTAGTATCTAGGAGGAAGAGATTTAAAAAGAAATATGGGGAATTCAAAATAGTTTAAAAGTAATATTTTGACTTTTTATGAATCAAAAGACTGCTTAGAAACATAATTCAGTAGGTAATTTAAAAGACAAATAAGGTAAGATTACCAAAAATTGACTACTCCTAAGGGAAGGGGCAGAAATTTGGGAGAGGGTCAAAATGACAAGACTTATCTGAACTTATCTTTGTTGACAGTTTCATATTTTTTTTCTTTTTTGATATTTTGTTCAGATAGAGTGGGAGGGAGAGAGAGAGAGAAAAACATCGACATGAAAGGGACACATTGAGTGGTTGCCACCCACACGACCCAACCAGGGCCGAGGACAAACCGCAACCGAGGTACATGCCCTTAGAGGGAACCAAACCTGGGTCTCTCTGGACTGCAGGCCGACACTCCAACTGCTGAGCCAAACCTGCTGGAGCTTTTTTTTTTTACCCTCACCTGAGGACATTTTTGCATTCATCTTCAGATAGAGCGGGAGGGAGGGAGAGGGAGAGAGAGAGCGAAACATCGACATGAAAGGGACACATCAAGTGGCCGCCACCCACACGACCCCAACCGGGTCGGGGACAAACTGTAACGGAGGTACGTGCCCTTAGTGGGAACTGAACCTGGGACTCTCTGATCCACGGGCTGACGCTCTAACCACTGAGCAAACCAGCCAGGGCTTTGTTGACAGTTTAAAACAAATTTTTTTTTCACTTATTGATTTTAGAGAGAGAGGAAGTGAGAGGGAGAGAGAGACAGAAACATCGATGAGAGAGAAACATCGATCAACTTCCTCCTGCACGCCCCCAACTGGTGATGAAGCTAGAAACCCAGGCATGTGCCCTGACCAAGAATCAAACTGGCAACCTTTTGGTGCACCAGATGAGCCACACCAGCCGGGGCTCAAAAATATGTATATTTTAGTCTGTCCATTAGAAAGGGCTAAAAGGAAAGGACATTCCAGGAACAATGAGAACCCACCCAAATTGTGGTCCCCAAGTACCATTTCCACTAATACGGACCAGGCTCCAGAGAAAAATGGCTGATAATAGGGTTGAAGCAAGACATGGGCAAGATGAGCCTGAAACTTCTTGTTGGACCAGAAAGCAGGACGCTATCAAAGACTACCCTTATTTGCAGGGGTGTCTATTGGCCAAAAGTGAAGATTTAAGCATGGAAAAGAGCAATAAATGGATTAAATGGTAACAATAAAAAAAATCCATGAGTTCACGATGATACATAAAAAGAAATCATTGGTTATCTTGGGAAGCCGCTAGAGCACCAACTCATTACGCTGAAATTGCAGACTTAAAGAAAAAGAACCAAGATTTTACAAGTAAATAAATGAGAATTCCAGCCAACAAATGAAGGAAGAATGAAAACATTTAGAAATCACCATTTTGCAATTCCTAAGGAGTATGTAGGCAATGATCAAGGGCTGCTGACATTTTGGGGTGAAAGGGTGCTGGGAATTTTTAAATGGGTGAATCCGGCCAAGACCACCAAAATCCAAGTATCAGTTTAAAATCTTTAAAAGTGGGACAGCCTGACATTATGTGTCTCCTGATGTGGTACCACGAAGGCACACAATGCCACCTTGAAAAAGAAAACAGCCTGAATTTAATCAAGCAGTAAGGACCTAACTTTGTGTTTAGAGAAAACACAGCGGCTGGAAAACGTATCCAACACCACCACGAGGCTGCGATTGGGCAAATCCAGAATGTAGGACATTTCTACAAGACAAATAACTGGAATTTACTCAACAAACAAAAGGCATGAAGACAAAGGGCAAGGGGAAGGAGAAGTGTTAAGATTAGAAAAGAATCAAGAGACATTAAACAAATGTCTTGTTTGGATTCTGATTCAAACAATCCAAATGTAAGAAAACATCTCGAGATAACAGAGTCCATGAACACAGCCTGATATCAGATAAGAAACTGTCGGTTTGTCAGATGTGACAGCCGAATTGTGATTGCATTAAAAAGTAAGCCATGCCCGGTTAGTGTCGACTGTGCACCAAGAGGTCGCCAGTTCGATTCCTAGTCAGGGCACAGGTGCAGGTTGTGGGCTTGATCCCCAGTGGGGGGCATGCGGGAGGCGACACATCAATATTTCTCTCTTACATCAATGTTTCTCTCTCTCTCCCTTTCTCTCTAAAACAAAAGCCATAAAAAGGAAGCCTTATCTGTTAAGACATTACAAAATACACTGTTGAATTTGATCAACTCATTAAAATGAACATATTTAAATATAATAAATTTGGCAGGTTTCTTATAATAATGATGACACACTAACTGAATCCAATTTGAACTCATGTTTACATGATAAGTGGACCAACCAAGTTCTGGCTCAGGAAAAGGCCCCTGCGCAGGCTTCTGTCAAGTCTGAGCAGCCTGGGCTTGGGAGGAAGCCTCCTCTCCAGGGAAAGCTCCCTGAGTGAAGGGCCTGGTGTGGGGACATTGCTGGGGGTCAGCGGTCAGCACTGGGCCTGGCTGACCTCCTTTCCCCGGGAAACATGGGCGGGAGGGGTCTTGTTCTGAGAGTCACACTGCACCCAGCAAGCAGACATGGAGAGCAGCCACGCTCCAGGGAGTTTTATGTAGGAAATGTTCCCATTATATACCTTTTACACATCATTACGAGCCAGTAAAGCCTGGCAGCCTTATCTCAAGACCTTATTAAAGTGTTTTATTCACTCCTGTTTAAGAACTACTTCTGTTGAAGACATCACCCAGGCCTCTGAGTCTGAGTCCTAAGTCCCGGCAGCCGCCAGCCCCAGGAGGTTCGTGACCCACAGCCCTTCTGTCACTGAACTAAAAACGCTAAGATACAGGCTCACTGAGCAGTTCCCCATCGAGAGCCCTGTGTCAAGTGCTCCTCACGTCCTGCCACACGATCAACCCTCCAACCATCCTCCGAGATCAGCACTCCTGTAACCTCACATGTCAGGTGGGCAACCCCAGGGAGGTTACATAACCTGACCAATGCCATGCAGTTACCAAGTGGCCGAGCTGGGATTTCCCCAAGGAAGAGGCCGGGAAGCCCGGTCCGGGCGCCCGCGGGCACAGCTGCGGCCCAGCTCCGTGGGAGCCCTGCGCTACCTCGGGCACTTACTGCGTTCTCGGGGTGGAAGATGTACGAGGCCGGGGAGTTGTCCACGATGATCACTTTGCTCAGCTCCCGGCCCAGGCGGCTCAGGTCTTTCACGTAGTTCCCACGGTGGAAGACGCAGGACTCTCTGAAGAGCCGGGCCCGGAACACCCCCCAACGGTCCAGCAGGTCGGCCACGGGGTCTGCGTACTGGAAAGCAGTGTCGCAATGAAGGCTGGGCGCCTGGAAGAGCCCAGAAACCCTGACCTGCGGCAGCAAGACGCAGCCTGCTGTCCCGAAGGGGATGGACATCGACGCACGTTCCAGGATCCGGTCGTTTTCCTCTCGGTGTGTAAGACACCCTGGATTCTTCCATTTCTCTCACTTCTCACATCCCATCCGTCAGAAATGCCTGCCTCTCTGTGACCTGGTCATGGCCCTCGTCTAGTCCTTGAGTCGCTGCCTGGGGTGGCCGTGGGAGCCTCGAGGTTCTCGCTCTTCCCCTTGGCCTCCTTTCCAGCCCTCTCGCTGCAGTGAGGCCCACACTCCTCCCTGCCATGCCCAGTACGGCTGCAGCTGCCCGGTTTCTGCGACCTCTCCACGGCCTCTATATGCCCTGCAGCCACACTGGCTTTGAACATGGCGGGGACCAGGGCCCCCTCTGCATGAACAGTCTCCCCAGTTCTCTGCATGGGCCTCTCCTGTACCCAATCTGTCAAGTCTTGGCGTCCCTTCCCGTCCATCTATAGTCCTCCTGCGTCTTCCTTTCAGGATACTGCTCTGTCGCCCCAGTCATTTCCTTCATGGAGCTGATCACCATGTGGGTTACTTTATTTTTCTTCACTTGTCAGGACCCAGGCTTGCCTGGCGTCTGCACCAGGACATCCCAGCACCTTAGAGTGCTGACCCCATCCATGAACAACCAATGAGCTGACTTTTCATTGGCCTTGAGTGGCATGAGGCCACCCTGCCCTAGAGGTGCTCTAGGCAACTAGGCCTGATCAGCCCGACTGTCTCAGAATGTGGGGCCCAGACCCCTCTTCCATTTCCTTGGAGCCGGGGAGTTGATGGGAGGGAGTCTGAACCCAGCTTGCAGCTGGGGGTCAGCCTGCTTGGGCCTTTCTCATGGCCTGGGCAATTTCCCCCAAAGCAGCTGGAATGGATAAAGAAATAAAGGGGTCATCCCCGAGGGAAAATCTTCATAAATGCAGGTATCTAAAAGACTGGGCCAGACCGAGTGGCTGGAGCTGGAGGCCAAAGAGTGGCAGTCCCAACCCCGGGGTGAAGCCAGGCCTCAGCACCCGACACACGCGAGGGGCCCAGCGACTCCGCCCGGGAGGCTGGTGGTGCTGGGAAGGCCAGCGGGGAGGCACGGCAGCCGGCGCACAAGCGGGCCCAGCAGGGTGCAAAGCCGCAAAGCAGCAGCTCCTGCGCTGTGACAAGTGCCCCTCTCCCGAGACACCTGGAGGAGGAGAGTCCAGGAGCAGGCTGTACTTCCTGTTGACCAGGGCCCTGCAGGTTCCCCGGGTGAGTTATGGGGCCTCACTCTAAATGGGAAGGATGGTTACCTTCCTCATGGTCACGGCCACTGGTGGTGGCCCACACCTTCCAAGGGAGTGTCCACGGCTGGGGCCCCGGGCCGCAGAGACGAATAGGGCAATGCGAGCTTCATGGGACTGGGCCTTCGTCTCTAGTTCTCTGCGTATCCTCGGGGCCTAGTATAGCACTTGGCACACGGTAGGTACTAAGTAAGTACTTGAGTGAATGAGTGAAGGAAGGAAACCAAGACGAGGACGCAGACACTGAAGGGCTCTGACAGTCAGCTCAGGCTCCTGTTGGCCCCTGGGCGGTGGGCCAGGAGGTCACTGTGCCAACCGTGCTGGCTGGGAGCTGAGCCCAGAGCCAGGCACTGGGGAGTGCCCACCTGTCAGCATGGCAGGAAAGAGCGGGATGGCGGGGCCAGGCTGGAGTAGCAGCGAGAGAAGGTGGAGAGACAGATGGAGGGGCAGGTGGGGCAGTCCAGGAAAAGAGACTGAGCAAGGATGTTTAAGGGGGTGCGGGGGACAGTGCCAAGGAGGAGCGTTTCCAATTCTGCCAAAGGAAAAACAACTCAGTCCATCAGCACCGGCAGGCTCCCTGTTTGTTATTTCTTTGGGTACCGCTGAGGGCCCTCGGCACCCAGAGCACCGACAGAAGAGCCACGGACACGGAGATCAGTCAGCCCTGGTGGCACTCGTCTGGCAGAGTGTGCACCGGGAGGCTGTCTTCCCCGAGGCCACACTCTCCATGTCGCACATGAGAGTAAGGCCGGTTCTTGGATTCCACCTCTGCCAGCTCATGCTTTAGGGCCTGGCAGTGAGCCTGGCAGAATGTTGTGCAGGTGAGGTTCTCTCTCACCTTGGCCATGACAGAGCGATGGCCCAAACCAGGAGCACTCAGGCGGGCACAGCAGCACGTCTGGGAACTCTGCATACGGAGCCCCGGCAAGACGAGAGCTGTGGGTACAGGGCACAGGAGACGTGGCTGCATGTGTTCTTGGAGCAGGTCACACAGGCACGTGGCTAACTCGGGCTCCACAAAGCTCATCTTTGGGGCCACTGAGGGACAATGATGATGCCACTAAGAAATGGATGGGCCCTGGCCGGTTTGGCTCAGCGGTTAGAGCATCGGCCTGCGGTCCAGAGAGACCCAGGTTCAGTTCCCACTAAGGGCACGTATCTCGGTTTTAGTTTGTCCCCAGCCCTGGTTGGGTCGTGCGGGGTGGCAGCCACTCGATGTGTCCCTTTCACATCGATGTTTCTCACACTCTCTCTCGTCCTCTCTCTCCCTCCCACTCTATCTGAACAAAAAATGAAAAAATGTCCTCAGGTGAGGATAAAAAAAAAAAAAAAGAAATGGATGGTGTTGGCCCCATCAGGTTTGAGAGATGAGCATGGTAAGGATTTTCTCTGAGGAGCATGGCCTGACTGTCCTGCACTGCACAGGACCTCAGCACACCTGTTAAAGGACAGACTGCACCATACTGGGGTCCCATGAACCAGGTAACTCCCGTAACCAGTGGGAGAGGGCAAAGAAAGCATGCCATTTGATCAGAGCCAACGCAGACGCTGGGTCAGAGATTCATACCAAGCTACAAGCCAAAACATGTGTGAACTATTTGATCATCATTAGAGTTATATAATGAGCAACGGCAGTGGGAACAGTACCGTGGGCCAGGGCCCAGCACAGCATTCGGAACACAGCAGTTACCCGGGAATACTTGCTGCGTGAGTCAGACACTGTGCTAAGCCCTCCACATGCCTGATTTTGCTCCACCCCACAAGGTAGATGAAGTTACCCCACGTCAACAGAAGAAACCCAGGTGTGAGAAGTGAAGTAACTTGCCTGAGATCACGGGACTCATTAGCACAGTCAGAACTCTCACTGGGCCCAGGCACGTGGGTCAGGCGCGGGCCCTTACCTCCCCCCCACACCTGTGTAAGCAAACCCAAGGGCACAGAGGCCCGAGCCTCCAGCATGTGGTTGCCAGTGAGCAGGTGAGATGCAGACACCTTCCTTGGTTACACTGGGCACACCTGTGATCTCCTGCTCTGTGGACAGGCAGCTTCAGGCGGCTGCACACAGCAACTTCATGGAGCATTTGTTCCGAGGGCTCCCTGTCACCATGGTAACCCAGAAGCCTTTCAGGCTGGCACTGTGCACATGGCCTGCATCCATCCCATCTGGGATGGGAATGTGTCACCATAGAAACAGCTTCCCCCACCTTAACAAAGGGCTGTTTGACAGACCCGGTAGGGGTGGAGGGGCCGGGAGCTCGGGCTGGGGGCAGGACTCACCTTGGCCAAGCTGGCAGTAAAGAGCACACACTCGAAGAGCTGCCCCATCCTCTGGAGGAACTCGTCCACATGCGGCCGCTTCAGCACATACACCTGCAACGGCAGGAAGCAGCGAGCGGGTCAGGTGTGCCTGGGCCCAAACACCAGTGCAGGAAGAAGTCCTGACAGTCCCCGCCTCCTGCCCTGGGGTCTGTGTGCGGTCCGAAGACGCAGATTTTCCGAGGGGCTAGGTACTTGACGTGGCATTTCATGCCAGACACTCAGTGCAAACGCTCCTCCTGAGGGAGGAAGCAAAGCCGACCAGGGTCCTGACAGCCCCGGGGATTTTCAGAACCAGTGGTGTAAGGGTCGCGCCCTGCTTGCGAGAGACGACTTGTTCCCTTCCCAAGTGCTTCTCGGCACATGCTCTGGTCAGATCCACGTGGACACAGGCCACGGTTTGGGGGGTGTCCTTCTGGATGTCCAACCCAACCCAGCAGGTTTGGGGTTGCTCTGTGGGAACACCTCCCTCGCTCGGAAGGCCCGCGGAGGAAGCGCCTTCCTTGTGGGCTTGGGAAGGCACCATGGATACCACAGGGGACACTGAGCTTGGGCTTGGCACAGAAATGAATGCTTCAGGGAATGTGAAGCCAGCCAAATCCCAGGCCCCAGGAACAAGCCGTCAGGAGCAGAGGGAGGCAAAGCGTTTTCTAGAGGAGCCGGGCTCTGCTCCTGACTGGGGCATCTGAACAAATCTGAGGCAGAAAGACATGGGCGAGAAGGCAACGCTGGTAAGTGAAGATAGAGGAGGTAGGAGGAGAGAAGAACTCATTAAAACTTGAATAAATTCCATTCAAAATTAGCCACTTCCCTAAAATAAGTCAAACTTGTTAAAATTCAATTCAATTTGTGTTCACTGAGCCTCAGCTTTGTGCTCAGCCTGAAGCAGGTACAAAGATGAATAAAACACAGGCCTTGCCCGTAAAGAGCTCACAGTCTAGAGCAGATGTACACAAAAATGTATCAAAACAAACACGCATAATAAACTTTACAGAGGGGTAAATTAAGAACAATCAATTCCCCTCTCAAGGGGAGGGAATCACAGAAGGTACTATTTGGCTTGGACCTTAAAGGATGAATAGGAGTTCACCAGGCCAATGAGGATAAGTGAGCTTCCCAGCAGAGGAAACAGTTTGAGCATGAGACCTGGACTAACCCAGACCTGGACCTGGGTGTTAGAGAATGGCCAGAGCCCTCTGTGACCAGCTCTTCCGACGCAACCACTGAAGAGGGGAGATGGGGGACAGGAGAAACTGCTGAAGACAAAGTGTGAAAGATAGGTGGGAGGGAGTATGTGCAGCCCAAATGGCAGACGGAGCAGGTTGGATATTCTACGAGAGGAGTAACAGAGGGCAGACAGTGGGCGCTGTACCCCACAGAGGGATTCTGTAGAGCCAGGACACGATGGGAAGCTTGTGGAGGCCTGAGAAAGTAAAGTGAGCATAGGTCTGTGGCGAGAGAAGCAGAATGGCCGGGGTAAGGGGGGGGGGGTGCCGACAGGGCTCTGTGGACCTGGGAGGCCGGGTGGGGGCCCAAGGGCAGGGCCTGTGGCTGCAGTAGCTCCAGGCCTCACTTGGCCCACAAGACTCTTGGTGCAGGGAATGGTGTGGCCCGTGGTCCTCAGTCTCCCTGGGAATACTGCTTGGAAAGCAGGCTTTGCTACATGCAAAGGGTGGGAGACTGATTTGGGAACTGTGGTGTTGGTGCCTCTGGCAGAGAGGAGGGTCCTGGGCCCGGATGTCGGCGTCCAGGCCCGCGTCCCTGTGCAAGTAACCAAGAATAGGCCCATTGGGACCTGCACAGCCTATCCTGGATTACTTGAACGAGGCCACGGCCTTCGCCAGGGCTTTGGTCCTCCTCTTGGCGCCTGTGGCTTCATTCCCTCAGGAAAGAGAGTTTTTGATCCCAGCCCTGGTGCCTTGGGGTATCACAGAACAGTCTGGAGGGAGGTGGGGGAAGCTGGGTGGCTCCTTCAAGAATGGTCTGGCCATGGCAGGTCAGGCCCTGAGGGGCATGCTCATAGTCACGAGGTATTAATTTCTTTCCTAATTCTTGCCATGCCAGTGGGCAGCCTCTCCTTTGTCTCGTTACTTTGTAACGTGAGCCAAGATAATAAATGCAGAAGCCTTAACTGCTTCTCAGATGCTAAGTTAATTCAGTTGATGCTTTTGCAAATGTTAAATGCCCAAGTGCCTCCCGTTTTGGCTCCCTGATGGCTTTTAAAAGCATGAAGTGTGGAGATGCTAGGAACAAAGCTGCATCCCTTTTCCAGGGACGGCTTCCTGGCAGGGCAGGGGGCAGGAGACTCGAAGTCTCATTTTAATTCTTCCTGTTGTATGACCTTGAAACAACACTTTTGCTGGCTGAGTCTCAGTTTCCCCATCTGGACAATGAGGTGGCTAGACCAGCTGATTTCCAAGGCCGTGGCAGTTCTGACACCCTACCCTCAAGGATCAGAGACCACTGGCATCGTTAAGGAAAGACACGCTGTTATGGCTGAAACACCAAGACAGATTTCCCTTCCTGGGCTATAAACCTATCAGTCCAGAGATTCTCACTTCAAGAGCGGAGGGCTGACAGGAAGATGGTCAGATCACCCCGGTGGGAAACTGACAAAGGCCCCCTCCAAGGCTACTTTTCCTGCGAGGTTTTCAATATGTTCATAGATGAAGCTATTCCCAGGGGAGCTTCATGCAGGTGAGGGGGAAAAAAAACAGAACAAAGATGCACGCCAACTGGCTAGGGCGTCTTTATTCAACATTGTCTGCTGATCCCCAAACACACCCCCTTCTCCCCTTCTTTTTGGACTGGATGTTTGCTAAAAGTTCACTGGAGAACATGACGTAGGACAGACAAGATCAGGCTGGAGTGGCTAGCACTGGAAATGGACACCTTTTCCTGACAATCACCGTAAGTGGTTGGCTTGTGGCATTTCCTGCTAGGAGAGTAGCCGAAAGCAATTACATGAGGAAGTTAATTAGACCATCAAACTAGACCAGTGGGGGATATGGAAACTTCTAAAAGTCTGCATCAAATCAAAGAACTATTTGAACTTGCAACCACATCTAATATTTATAATTTCCCTTATAAACTCAGTATAAAACAAATCCATGGGTGAAAAAAGCAGAAAACCATTGTATTTATTGTACAAAGTTTGCTTCCTTTTGATTCAGTCATACGATTATTACTGAAATGGGAATTCAGAAATAAAGTTCAGAAGAAATGTAATTACTAAAACACACTCATTGAAACTCAGATTTAGCTTTGATTCTTACCTGATGTATGGTTCCATCGATTTCAACCGGAACGATAAAATCAGCATTACTAATAGGCTAGAGAGAAAAGAAACTATAATTAATATGTCTGAAAGGATGAAATAAGGTTGGAAATTTTAGCAAGAAAAAAGCTTGCCTGTACCAATGTTTTTATTTTTTGGAAAAAACAGTTCAGAAGGATGTTGAAGCGTGCCCAGGTTCCTTAAAATAAGCATAAGCAGGAAAGCACACTGTTATTATTTTTTCTGAATATTGTTACATTTTCAGCATCTTGGTTCAACCTCTTTATCACCTGCCTTTTCTCAACCACAAAGGGTGGGGCAGCCTCCCTAGGGAATGGGGCTCCTCAGAAACTCCAGCTCTGGATAATAGGGCACCGCTGTTGGCCACCAGGGGGAGGCGATGAGAGACCAAAGGTCCTAGAGGACAGTGCTCTTTGGGGACAATAATTAATACTGGCCCTGTGATGGGCAGGAGATGCACAGACCATGGACACAAAGCAGGGCCAAGGACTTGTGGGGGGTGAGGTCAGAGGCCACACACCTCGACCTTGGGTAGGCTCTTCCTCGCTCTGGACCTTGGTTTCTACTCTCTTCCATCATTACTATGAAGAGTGTCCATGGCTCCATCCAGTCCCGAGCATAAGGGATTGCAGGCCACTCTACACTGCTCATAACACTCAGAAACTGCTGCATATTTAAAACTAGGTTGACAATATGAATGACATTTAACACTCAACTAGGATTCTTCAGCAGTCACTGTGTTCCCAAGGATGAACTCACATGTAATTCTAAATGAGACTCCACAAATTGTATAGAAAACTACTCAAATGAACAGGCCCAGGAGAATATCAGGCTGCAGACCCCTGGGACAAGAAGGAGAGCCACGGAGGGAAGGAGAATGTGTGTAGTGGCCCCGGGCAGCGGTGCTGGGTACAGAATCTCTGGGCAGACCCATTACTGTACAAACACACATTTTTCTTTGATATGTAAACTAAAGAAATGTGGAAAATATAAGATCACAGACACATTACTAAACATGAAGCAGAGCACCTAAGGCTTAAGATAGCAGTTTCTTCACTCCTGTGGTGGGAAGGCCAAGGGTGAGTTCACAACTATAACAACTCCACAACTAAAATACAGAATCATGCTAAAAACAAAACAAAGGAGATGGAGGGAAGAAACTCTCAGAAGACATTAGATTGTGAAATCATATTCCACAGAGTATATTAAAGGAGGAAAACCAATCCCCAGCTCAGAGCGAGCACCTGCCCTGGATCCTGTCACGTGTGGTGTGAAGGAGGCCACGTGTGCCAAAGCCGGGGCTCTGCCCTCGAATGTGAGCCTGCGTGTACAGTCATACATCTTCAAGGAGAGAGGCTCACAGCTTCTGAATTCTCGAAGGGCTCTGAAATGCCCAGAACATAAAAACCATACAATACAGTATATTCTGCTTGCAAATGCAGCAGGTCAGGGCGAGAGGAAATGAGAAGATGCTGTTCACATCAGCTTGTCTGATGAATACCCAGTGAGCAGGCCCCGGAGACACGGCCCTGCCTTTGGAGCTGGGAGCCCTCAGTAACCTTGGGCGGTCTGGCGAGCGCTGCCCACACTCAGAGCTACTGGGGAGAAGCTGTCTACGCTGTGATGGCAACTGACCCCTGTTCTAAAGGGCTTCCTTCCAGACAGACTTGAAACAGTTCTGAGCAACTTGCTCTCAGGGGAGGAGGGGGTTGAAGGCTTGCAGTGCCTTTCAGAGCTGAGCTGGGCCACAAGGCCACCAGCCCTGGACCAATCCTGGAAGGGCCCTCGAGGTATTGGAAGATGAAGGGATACAACATGCCCCAGTGGTCGGACAGGCCATTTCTCAGGGCTAAAGGAAGTGTGGTCCCTCTTCCATTCTCCCAAAGGACTCAAAGATGAGCACCTGGCCTTCGCCTGTCAACGAAGGTCTCTGTTGAGTGAGAGCAGGCACAAGGAAAAACATTTCTAGCATTAAGGTCTGCAGGCAAATTTGATGGCTCTTGCGCGTCCCACACAACCATAAGGAAGGACTCTAGTCCACGTGAGACACACCCCCTCCTGGCCGGTGCCTTCACGTCTCTAGGGAAGCGGGGGAGTCCTGGGATGCAGATACAGGGTGGAAAGTGGTCTAACTGGCCAGCACTAGCAGAGCCGTCCCATTGCCAGAAATACCCCAAGGCAAACAGGACCAGGACCCCAGACACCTGCTTCTTCCCCCAGCACACCAACCCCCCGTTTGCAAACCTTCTCATCATTGGCCTCTTTGAAATCATTTACTCCATTTCAAAAAATGGGAAATGGTTCATCAACTCATTTCTTAATAATGTAATTACAGCTGTTCCCGCATGGAGGTCCTCTGGTCACTTGTAATTATTTTTTGCTGGAGCGTGAGGAAGGTGACAGAATGGAGACTCCCTGCTGCTCACCTTGATGTCAGAGGAGCCCCGAACCCTTCAGGAGGACAGTCACGCTGGTGCATACTCATTTAGCTGTGAAGTTTCTAAAATCCCTGGCAACCCCTTATTATGAGAATGGTCAAAATAAACAGCTGTCTCTGTTCAGATGCTGTAACTGCAGGTCTTCAGTGCTGGACATCTTTCAAACACTAGTCTGGGAAGACTTCCAGGAGAGCAGGTTGTGAGGACTGTGCTTCCCCTGCCCCTCCCAGCAACACATGGCCCTCTGGTTACCTTGACAGATACACCACAGTGTCCGGGGGCACTGCTTGCTTTGTGCCACCCGAGTTCTTCTGCAGGGGTTAAAGCGCTGCAAACTCAAGTCTCATAAATAAGAAGGTCTCAGTGATACTGGCAGCATTCTTTTCCCCAAACCAATTATGTTAATTTTCAACTGCCTGAGTTAATGTTCACCGGAGTTAATAAACAACTGTTATTGGGATTTCTTCATGAACAATGAAGTCATCCACTAATAAGCATACACTTTCATCCAAATGTGACCAAAGCAGAGATCATTGATGGCCTTTCCGTTGATTTACCTTAAATGAGCTGTGTACCAGTGTTTCATCTAAATCAATGACCACGCATTTCTTTCCATAGTCGAGCACCGTCACCTCGGGAAGGAGGTATTTAGCTGGCGGCTGAAGAAAAAATAGCATTATCATTACCTTGATGTAAAACACAAACCAATCCTCTTGTTATTACATTATACTATGTTAATGAGGTTCAAAGTTAAGCCAAACATTGAAACGCCTGGTATTTTGTAGTTCGCCACTGAATTTTTACCAAATACTGTGCCATTGTCTGAATGGCTATTAGGAGGGCTAGGCCTGGGAACCAGATGAACCTGGGTTTAAATATCAGTTGTCTCTTTCCTGGCTGTAAGTTGAGATAATAATATCTATTATGAAAGGTTGTTGTTATCAGCTGTAATTGTGGTAAAATGCCCACATTCTGCCTGGCACATACGTAATGGGCACTGTTATTATTAAAATGGGCTGCATTGAAGTGAATGGTTAATCATGATAGCTACTCTATGCAGGCCCATTTCTTGGGGTCACATTTTGTCTGAAATTCACTGTGGTACATAAGTATATTTCAGACCTATATGGAAACTACAGTATTTTTTTTAGTGATTGAAATTTTCAAAAACTTGAAGAGAAACTACAGACCCACCAGCAAAATGCAATCCAAAGTGGCACCCAGTAACAGGAAACAAATAAACCGGTCTGAGTTCCGCTTCCTGCCTTGTGCCTGCCCCTGCCCCACTGTGGTATAACAGTGAGTGAAAGTGGCATTTTTACCTCTTGGATTCTGTCTCTGAAAGTTATACTTTAATCCTCATGTTGTATGTTAACCAGAAAATCTATTTATATGTCTTTGTAGTAGCTGACTCTAACCTTGTGAAAAAAAGGTCATAAAGAATGAATAAAACACTAGATAATCTTCAGATAACCTCATTCTTGATTTAGAGTACTTATTTCTTTGGGCCTTGCTTCATTAAAAAAAATTTTTTTTCTTCACTGATTTTTAGAGAGAGAGGAAAGGAGAGGGAGAGAGAGATAGAAACATCAATGAGAGAGAACACCAATTGGCTGCCTCCTGCATGCCCCCCACTGGGGATCGGGTCCACAATCTGGGCATGTGCCCTGACCAGGAATTGAACCGGCGACCTCTTGGTGCGTGGGTTTACGCTCAACCACTGAGCCACACCGGCCAGGTGGCCTTGCTTCATTTTAGAAACAATTTGAAGTATTTTAGTTTGCTTTGTGGCATATTTAGTATCCAATGTTAACAAGCCACTGCTTTGAGCTGGAAGAAGGTTAAGCTCTGTTCAATATTTTATGCCAAACAACACACAAGAAAATATTTGTCCCTCACCACTGAAGAATGATCAATTTAGTTTATCAAATAAAACAAACAAAACAATGAAATCAAAAGGTATTCCCTTCTAAATTTATTTAATTTTGGGGGTCTAAACTGAACCTTAGTCAAGGATTTGGAGTTAATTTTGGACTTTAGCTGGTTCGATAGTGAAGGTAACAGGCGGTCATCAGGTTAGGTAAATTTGCAAGTGCAATGGTCATTCTGGCAGGGGGTACTGTGCAGGGCTGACCAGGACGAGGCTCCATGTGCGGACATGGGCGGTTCTCATTTTAGAGGAGCTCTCCAGTGAGCGTGGGTGCTTCCTCCTCCCAGCTCTCCACGCAGTATTCCTAGCCTTGCAGCACTGGGAAGGGATGTGCCTTAGACATGGGCCATGAGAGTCAGGTCCTAGGAAGGGCTGTGCCATTATAATTCAACAAGCCAGCAGGTCATTATCAAAATTAAAACAAACGGGCAAGAAATTGTATATCAAAAACTGCTTTAAAAAGGCAGGGTAAGATACATTCTATGAGTGAGCATAAGGATTTGGGTTATTTTTGTTTGGGCCATAACAGAAAGCATGCTTGTAACCAGAATAAAATTTGTTTTAACTTTTTATTATACAATTCTGTAAAAAATACAGACAAGAAAACACAACTCTTCTCTTTTCCATGCCCCCGATTCCTTTTCTCAGATGTCTCCCTTTTTAGTTTGGTATCTATCTGTCCAGTCCTTTCTCTATGCATTTATACAGTGAAATAATATTTTAATTTTGTGTAATTGCAAGCCTGGAAAATAAGGATCTAGAAATTCTATCCCTTGTGTACCTGAAAGCACCAAAGATCTGCCAAATGGGCTCAGTTATTTTCCAAACCCAAGAAGAAAAATTACTTTCTTAGCATATTTAACCCGCACTTGACAAGCATTCTCTGGGTTAGCAGTAAGTAAAATGACTCACTGTACTACTCTGAGGAAAAAGAGAGAGAGGGTGTTAAGCAAACTATTGATTCAGCATTTGGGCTCCAGAGAACAAGGCCAGGCGGGGGCCACGGGCTGGGAGGATCCCACTAATCCTTAGCCCGTTTCCTTAATGCACACGGCTCCTCTGAGCTTGGCTCTGGATGCATGCAAACCCCCAGACCACTGGTAAGAATTCTTCTGGACAGCTGTGTCCTTGGAACCTGCAAGGACACTATATAAATGCAGTAGTGCTTTGCTACTTCAATTGCTCTGTTCAGGTGATGCTTGAATCATTAACTAGAAAATGTCCTAAAGCAAATGTTCTCTCAGGTCAACATAAAGCTGAAGAACGAGAGAAACACCAGTTATATCAAGATGAGCCTTTTATATACAAAAATCACTTGCTCCAAAGCACACAGAGGGCATTTCCAGGGGGATGGACAGGGTGGGGATGGGAGGGGAAGGGCAGAAAGCACATGGTGGGAGGGGGGAGGAGGAAGTGACCGTGACCTGTCATCCACGGGTTGGGAGTTCTCTTCCTGGGAGCAGATCTAAATTTCCTGTCCTTGCTGGTGAACTTGCAGCCACAAATAGTTGACTCTATAGTTCTTTCTTTAAAAAAAAAAAAATTTTTTTTTCTTTATTGATTTTAGAGAGAGAAGAAGGGAGAGGGAGAGAGAGAGAGATAGAAACATCGATGAGAGAGGACATCAGTTGGCTGCCTCCTGCATACCCCTCACTAGGGATTTGGTCCACAACCTGGCCATGTGCCCTGACCGGGAATCCAACCGGCGACTTCTTGGTACATGGGTCGATGCTCATCCACTGAGCCACACCGGCCGGGCTATAGTTCCTTTCTTTAGAGCACCCAGCCTACACGCCCTCACAGACCTTGCAGACCTAGAACCTCTTCTTGGTACAGTAGATCTCAGGCTCAGCGTCTGCACACTGTGCTCCCCAAATCTCAGGACAGAGATCTTGGGGCCTACTGCAAAATGGGGCAAAGGAAACTCTAGACCATCTGTAGCTAGAACAGCTGTTCCGCCTCTATGTTCTTCATAAGGTGGAAAAAAGTACACCACTTGCTTTTTAAAAGGCTGAGGCAAACAGTATAGAAACGTTACTGTTAGAAAACAAATTTCCCCTCTCCCGGCAGCATTTGTATGGCTCGGCTGCCCTGTCAACCTCGCGCTGTGAGCGTCAGTGTGGTGTGTGATTCGAGCGAGAGTGTGGGGACGGCAGGCCTCGTCACAGCCCCAGTGGCATTCCTCCCTGGGGCCAAAGTACGTGAGTGCTCAGTTTCAGCCACAACCACCCGTCGTGTCCTCCCCTGAAATACCTGACTTTTACCAGACAGCCCAGGAGGCTTCCATAAGATGCATGAAGAGCCCCAAATCCCAGCTCATAGTTGGGACACAAATGTTACTAAGTGCAACGTTTAACATCAAGTCTGGATAAAGATGTCATTTCCAACAGGTGTTCAGAAGACAAGTTGGTGGATCACTCAACAAATGGTGTTGAGATACCTGACTGGCCACTTGGAAAAGGAAATAAAGCTGGATCCCTGCCTCACGCCTTACACCAACATAAATTCCACAGGGGTCACAGACTGCAGTGTAATGATGAACCCAACAGAACACTGGAAGGAACTGACTGGTGTGGCTCAGTTGGTTAGAGCGACGTCCGGGCACAAAAGGTTGCAGGTTCGATTCCTGCTCAGGGCACATGCAGGAGGCAACCAGCTGATGTCTCTCTCTCACATCGATATTTCTCTCATTCTCTTTCCCTCCTCCCTCTCTAAAAAAAAAAAAAAAAAATCGATAAAAAAATAAAATACTAGAAGAAAAAATGGGTCAGTCATAGAGTGGGTTGATCTTTCTAAGCATGACATACAACTCAGGAGGTATAAAGAATAAGATGAATATATTTGCCTATATGAAATTAAACTTCTGCCTGGCCGGTGTGGCTCAGTGGATTGAGTGTTGTCCTATGAACTGAGAGGTCCAAGTTTGATTCCCGGTCAGGGCACGTGCCAGGGTTGCGGGCTCGATCCCCAGTAGGGGGTGTGCAAGAGGCAGCTGATCGATGTTTCTCTCTCGCATTGATGTTTCTAGCTCTCTCTCCCTTCCTCTTTCTCTAAAGAAATCAATTTAAAAAACATTTAAAATTAAACTTCTTTGTGGCCAAAATAATTATAAACAAGGCCAACAGATATATCATCAATTTAGAGGAAAGTGCTAATTTCCTTGACATTTATAAAGATAACACCATATAAAATCTGGAAGAAATGAATACGGAAGAAGAAAGACATATGGACAATAAACCTGTGAAAAGATGATCATACTCATTCATCAAGGAATTCAAATCAAAAGTGATAAATTGATACCATTCTTTATCTTCAGATGAGCAGAGATTAAAATATGTGATAAGGGAATAGGAAATCCCATACACTCTTGGTGGGAATGTAAAGGTGGCTTTTGGAAGACAATCTGGCGTTAATCTATCAAAAATGTAAATTATGTCCTTTGACCTAGCATTTCCACAATTAGGAACTGATCACACAGACACTATCACTCAAGTCCATAAAAACACATGTATAGGAATATTCACAGGAAAATACCAGCAACAGTGCAGATGTGGAAACAGTAAATGCCATCACATGTAAAACAAGGAGGTAGATGCTATGTACTAACATTTAAAAAGATTTCAAGATATCTTGTCAAAAGCAAAAAAGAAAATTGTTTTGCAAAACTCCTATTTGTGTAAATATGCTTGTGTTTATTTAGAATGTTTCTGGAAGAATATATAAAGAATATTAAAAGTGGTCATTCCAGGAAGTTGGGACTAAGTTGTGGGATTTTTTTCTTTCTACGCGAATCTTTCAGTATTTTCTTTAAACCATGAGCTTGAATTATTGCTTTGTGAAAAATCAAAATGCCAAACCTGTACATATAAACAGAAAAGCAGGAGAATGAAAAAAGAGGGGTGAGGTGAGAAGCAGAGATGGGGGACTCCTGAGGGACCTGCTCAGGGGCATCTTTCTTGTTCAGGGCCTAGCAAAAGCTTTCAGGAGGTTGTGGGACCTGGTTTGTGGGCTCGGTACAAACAAGCCTGTGGTGCAGCGCCCCAAGCTCTCAGGGGCTCCCAGCACTGACGAGGCCCTGTTTTGGTCCAGAAAGGGAGGCTACTGTTTATGTGACCTTCAACCTAGACAGGGGGGTGCAGATTTTGCAGGGGATTCCAAGGCACAAATCCCAGCTGAGCGGGCCTTCAGATGGCCCTGGCTTTGGCTCTGCATGTGAAGCAGGCCGTGGAGGGATCACACGTGCCCAGCAGAACTGCCTTGCTGGAGGTTAGCATTCAAAGAGGAAGGTTACTTTAGCTAGGCTTTGTTTTTCTGCAGGACATTTCACAGAGTCTCAGGCCTGACCCAGTGTGTCATATGTAAGAAGCAGTCAGCAGCTTACTGATTGAGCACTGGGCTAAATCACACAAGGAATCTTTCCCCCATTGGCTGTTGTATTCTAGGATTCTAGAATGAGTCAAGCTTTGTGGGCAAAGGGTCATCTTTCTCAGTAGTGTTTACCTGGACAGGTACTTGATTCAGCACCTAACTTTAAAGACAGAAGGGAGTTAAATGTGAGGCAACAACAGTGCTGTTGGGGTATCAGAGGTCGGGGAGAGATGCCAGCTGTCACCTGTTTAATACAGGTACCTGTCAGAAGAATGCAGTGCATGAAACTACTTCGCATGGAGGCTAAACAGAGACCGCTGGTCATCAATCCCACTAGGGATTGATAATAGGTGAAAAAATCCAAGGTAAGATGGATGAACAGATCTGAATCCTACTGACACACTGGATAAGGAGTCATGCTGCCTGACCAATCTTTTTCATCCGTTTTCCCAACAAAGCCCAACCCCCCGTTAGACTGGCAAAGTCAGAATCACTCCGCAAACCCTTCCAACCTGTTAATAAATGGAGAGTTCAAGTTCTGAGAAAAATGAAATTATCAGAAACATTTTGGGCAATTTGTAAGTGACATGCATGTCCAAATTTGGAGTCAACCTGTACTAATGAAATCCATTCCTTTCAAATGTAGGATTGTGCTATCTCTTGGATGTTCCCAAAAAATAGGTGAAAAAGTCCCAGGAAAAACAGAGAAGAGATTTGAATCAGACTATTTAAAGAAGAGAATCTTTTGGATGAAAATAACAATTTATGGACATCTTTTTTTTTTATCTTCACCCGAAGACATTTTTCCATTTTTTGTTCAGATACAGTGGGAGGGAGAGAGAGGAAGTGACAGAGAGAAAAACATCAACGTGAGAGGGACACATTGAGTGGCTGCCACCCACATGACCAATCAGGGCCGGGGACAAACTGCAACCGTGGTTCGCGCCCTCAGCGGGAACCAAACCCAGGTCTCCCTGGACCGCAGGCCGACGCTCTATCCGCTGAGCCAAACCAGCCAGGGCTATGGACACCTTTTAACATCCAAATGCTTCTCTAAGGTCACAGGACTGCTGGCAAGGTCCTGTTTCATGTGGGCACCTTAACAGGAAGTTTCTTCTGGGAGCCAGTCGCTGGGATGGCTTAGGCCACACAGTTCTGCTGGCCGAGGAAGCACAGGAGCAGTGGGGACAGGGATGCCTGAGGGGTGGCTGGGCCAGGCCAGTGCTGGGGTCAAACACTGATACAGCTCTTCCTCCACATCCTAAGGCTGAAGTCTGCAGTGGCCCAGGGAAGCCCAGCTGGGGCAGTTACAGCACCACCAGCCTGTGGGAGTGGGGCTGAGGCTGCAGCTCAGGGACTACAGTTGGGACCATCTGGTCTGAGAGCTGCAGGCCAAGTGACTGACCCTGGTGACAAGTCAGAATGGTCCGCTCACCTGGGACACGAGCCCAATTCCACTGGGACAGTACCTGTTGCAAAGGACCATGTCTGGGCAAAAGTGTGTGTTCCCAGTCCGTGGAGTTGGGGCTAAGGTGCTGGGGTCGGGGAGCACGCAGCTGCCTGAGCTTACTCAGCCCGGGAGGCCCTTCCTTGGCAGAGAGAGAGGAAAGTGAACTTGGAGAGGAGACGCTGGCTGCCCTGCTGTTCCTGAAGAAGGAATCTCTCTGGAAAGAACTTCCCGCTCACAGTTTAAAACACAGCCTCCTTCTTCCTTTCACCAGAACAGAGCTGTTTATACCACATGATCAAATGCAACGTAAGCAAGAACACTGAAGAATAATCTTTTATGTCAGTAGGCAAATGTTTAAATAAAATTGAGTAAATATACATACACTTGGAATGGGAATGACCTGCCTCTGGTCACCCTGAGGAAAAAGAAAAGAAGTCATTGTCAGGTTTGAAGAGACGTAGAACACACACTCACAAGAAACTGCTTGCACGGGGGGCCCACCGTCTCCCAGTCGGGGCCCTGACTCCACCCTGCCCCCCGGACACCCCGCCCCTGGAAATAGGCTGGGTTCCTGAGGCTCCTCCATCATGTGTATTTGAACAGTGCCTCCCTGACTCCCAGAAATTTAATCCTTAATTGAAAATTAAAAATGAAAACCCATACTTTACTTTGATCCATGACTCCCTCTAATAACTGGCTTGTTTGTTCTTTTCAGTGAGTTTTTCCCCGAGAAGACTAAGCCTCAAGTCTGTACCACAGGCAGGCAAGGGAGACGCGGTCCTCAGACTCCGAGGAGCGCCTGGCCCTTCCCAGGGAGCACTGGGCCGAGGGGACACGCGAGGCACCAGGAGGGCCCGAGGCCGCAGGCGGGGGCAGCTCTCCCCTCCCGGGGAACAGAACCTGTCTTCACAGGCAGCGCCAAGGAAACGCAGGTGCCGAGGAAGAGCCTCAATCGCTTCTTTAGCCGCGAATGCCCGCCGCTCCGAACACGGTGGATGGAAACACTTCATCTCAGCGTCTCTGAGCAGCCGGACAGACAGATGCATCCCCACTGAGCATGCGCAGTTCCCTGCTGCTTCTGCAGGTGGTGGGGTGGGGGCGAGAGAGCCGCCCGCGGGTCCCGACGAGACACGCCCTGTCCCGCCTCAAGGTTCCTGACGAGGACACGCGCTGTCCCGCGGTCTCCCGCACTGAGCCGCCTCAAGGTTCCTGACGAGGACACGCGCTGTCCCGCGGTCTCCCGCACTGAGCCGCCCGCGGTTCCTGACGAGGACACGCGCTGTCCCGCGGTCTCCCGCACTGAGCCGCCCGCGGTTCCTGACGAGGACACGCGCTGTCCCGCGGTCCCCCGCACTGAGCCGCCTCAAGGTTCCTGACGAGGACACGCGCTGTCCCGCGGTCTCCCGCACTGAGCCGCCTCAAGGTTCCTGACGAGGACACGCGCTGTCCCGCGGTCTCCCGCACTGAGCCGCCTCGAGGTTCCTGACGAGGACACGCGCTGTCCCGCGGTCTCCCGCACTGAGCCGCCCGCGGTTCCTGACGAGGACACACGCCGTCCCGCGGTCTCCCGCACTGAGCACTTGTGAAAAGTGTGACCGTATCTTATCAAGGCGGGGAGGGGTCTGGTGACGGGGTCTCATGGAAAAGGGCCGCACATGATGGTTGACAGTGGCAGGTGGCTGGCTCTGCTCTGACTCTAAGGACCATTTAGCAATTTCCTGATTGTCTCCAGACCTAGTCACCCCCCCTACAGTGTAACAGCAACTACTGTTTCCTCAGCACCTCTTGATGGCTCTTCCTTTTCAGGACACTGGGCTTGTCTTCAGGATGCTGAACTGTGGGCTCTTCAGTGTGTCGGTGCCATCAAATCAGATGCCCGTTTCCAAGAACTTCTGTAGGGAAGCTCATTTCAGAAGCTCTTAATAATCCTATTCCCAGCCTCCGGGCCTGGGAGACTTCCACCAGAAGCTCACAGCCCTCCCAAGCTGGGTCCTGGTGGAGCAGGGTTTCTCAGCCCCAGCACTACCGACATCCTGGGCCTGAGAACTCTTTGCCACGGGGGCTGTCTTGGACATTGTGGGATGCCAGTAGGACCTCCAGTAGTGCCATCAAAAATGTCCCTGCACATTGCCAAATATCCCCAGGGGTAAAAATCGCCTCCAGGTCAGAACACCGCAGCAGTGGGAGACTGCACACGCTCCCCCACAGGTGCACCTTCGACAACATGAGCGTCAGCCATGAGAGAGAACAACAGCACCCGAAGGGCTTGACAAAACACAGACCATGAGTAAAGGGGCTACTCTAGACAGATATTTAGGCTTGAAAATTACCCCGGAAGTGTGTGTGTGTGTGCATGCGCACACAGGATATGCATGTATTAGTGAGTGTCCAGAAACCTTGTTCACTTTGTCCTCGACCTTAGAAGTCCTCCCTGGGCTCTGCCATTGGGTCTTCTAGGTGCTGACGCGTCCTAGCCTCTGACCTGGGGCTGCAGACACTTATTTTCGGCAACTTGCCTGCAGGTCCAGGGTGTAACTGGACGGTGGCCATGGTGCTACCCCAGGCCACCTCTCTTGAGGCATTTCTCCAGGGCTAAGTGAATATACGCAGGTGGAAGGAACCCTAGAGGCCATCTGTCGCATTCGGTCTACAGCCTTCCCTCTTCCTCTGGCAGGCTGAGTTCCGAGAGGCAGGGAGGGCTGAGGAGTCAGAAGAGACAGGCCTAGAATCTGCGTTTGCAGCTAACGGGCCTGGGCTTTGTGTTCCAGGTGTCCTGACCCAGCTGAGAGCCAGGGCAGAGGGTCCTCCTCTGGGAACTGGCTGGCCACGTTGACATGGGCTCTGGTCTCACATACTGAAGAGTGGAGGGTTATGCAAATCATGCATTCCTCAGAGTTCACTTCATTCTTTAAAAAGCCATTTGACAAATGTTAAGTGAGGGAAGTCCATGAATGAACACTAAATCCAGGTGAGCTCAACTCTGCCAGAGAACTGCCTTTATTTTTGTGTATGTTTTTTTTTAATCCTCACCCGAGGACATTTTTCCATTTTTGTTCAGATAGAGTGGGAGGGAGAGAGAGGAACAGAGAGAGAAAGAGAAACATCGATGTGAAAAGGACACATTGAGTGGCTGCCTCCCCCACAACCCCAACCAGAGCCTGGAACAAATTGCAACTAAGGTATGTGCCCTTGACCGGAATCGAACTCGAGACTCAGTGGTCCTCGGGCTGACACTCTAACCACTGAGCCAAACCGGCCAGGGTGAGAACTGCCTTTAAAGGCCTTTACTCCCTGACACACACAAATAAATACTTGAGGAAACCTTCCAGGGGTGCAGCCCCATTTCCCAGGCCATTGCATCTAGGCAGAAAATATTTTAGAACGACTTTTACTATGACGGCAGTGATTCTGCTCTCTTTTCAATCCTCTACCGGTCTAGGGTACAAACTATGCTCCCTTCACTAATGGCGATTTTCTACAGCAATGATTTTTAAATTGGGAGGGGGAGTATGAGGAAAGAATACTTAAGGGTGATATCAGAATCTGGGGCTATGGCCCGGTTTACAGTGGAATGTCATCATTCAAGTTTCACTGATATATTTTTCTACACCAATGGGGAGCAAGGTTGAATATCTGTTAATGAGAGTCATCTTTCATTATTTTCCCCCCAAAATTTCTCAGCTATTCTTAGACATTTGTCTTCCTATTCAGAAACAGCATATTTCTCCATAAATAAGAGTTACCATATCGAAATCTTTTAATGTTGCTAATTTTTCTGTAGTGTTTTGGGTTTTCTATGTAAATAATCAGGTCATCTGCAAATAAACCTAATTTTGTATGTTTTCCATATTTGTACCAGTTTTGATTTTTTTTGGTCCTATTACACCTGCCAGAAACTGCTAGTGATTTTCCTATGCTGTTTACTGTTTATCTTTAGACTATAGCTTTTTCTCATGTTTAAATGTGTTCTTCTATATATTTGGCTGTACTACTGATTGACATATGAAGGTTTATAGCTATTATGTACTTCATGTATGGGATCTTTTAGCATTATAAAGTGTCCTGCTTTCTCCATTTGTCTGATATTAACATTGCCACTTTTGCTTTTTATTTGATCTGCTCAGTACATTTTTCCTTTCTCTTTATTTTCTACCTTAAAAACATCACTGTATGGTAGATACTGGGTCAAAAAAATTGGCCTGGCTGGTTTGGCTCAGCGGTTAGAGCGTCGGCCTGCGGTCCAGAGAGACCCGTGTTCGGTTCCCGCTAAGGGCACGTACTTCGGTTGCAGTTTGTCCCCAGCCCTGGTTGGTTGTGCCGGTGGCAGCCACTCGATGTGTCCCTTTCACATCGATGTTTCCCTCTCTCTTCCTCTCCCTCCCTCCCACTCTATCTGTACAAAAAATGGAAAAATGTCCTCGGGTGAGGATAAAAAAAAAACAAAAAAAAAAACTATTAGTCCCCTACTGCAATAGTCATTAGCGCAGCTCACCAAATAATTCCAGTGTTCTTTCTGGGCATATGGTAAGGTTACATTTCTCTGCCCCTTGAATTAATTGCCTTGGCCAATAAAATGTAAGTTGAAACAAGGCATGTTACTTCTCTCTCTCTCTCTTAAAATAATGGCATAACAAACATTTATTATGTTTTGTTTTATAGTTAAAGTAATGGCTTAAAGGTAACCTGAGGAGTAACTGGTATGGCCAAGACATACGCTAAGACGCTAAGGCACACGTTCTTAGCCACCCCATTATTCTGTCTTAGCTCAGTGCTTCACCCACAGGAACGAGCCATGTTACTTCTGGGTGAAACTCCAATAGCCAGGGTGACCAACACATCCCCTTTCCCCACTGTGACAATCACAGAAGCAGAGATGGGCCTTCCACAGTCTAGGCCCATGCCTGAGGATAAGAGAGAGCTACACAATCCAGTAATGATAGTCATCAGTCACAGGAGGCTACTGGGCACATAAAATGTGGCTAGTCCAAATTAAGGTGTGCTATAAATGTAAAACACGCCAGATTTTGAAGCATTGTAAGATTTTAAAGAAGTAAATTTTATCTCATTGATAATTTTTTCTATTGATTACATGTTGAAATAATATTTTGGATATATTGGGTTAAATAACATATGTTTTTAAAATTAATTTCTCTTAAAAATATTTTAAAACACAGGGCTACTAGAAAAATTTCAATTATATGTGGCTCTCATTCTATTTCTATTGAACTGTGCCAAAGAACAAAAGACCCCGCTAAATCATGATCAACATGCAGCACAAGGGAAACATACATTTTTGTATTATTTTAAGCCTCCGGGGTTCGGGGGGATGTTACTGATGCAGCGTAAGTGAATCTTTACTGACTAGTAAGTACATCTTCTCAGTAGTCATTCTTCTTTTCTCTTTTGTGAAAAGGGCTCCAATTTTGTCTAAATTCTTTTTGCCGGTCTACATCCCCCCTTCAGGCCTCCCTTGCTGCTGTGGGTAGCCATGTGACGAAGTTCTGGCCTATTAGAAGTAAGCAGAAGTCTCCTGGGGTTTTCTGTGAAAGTCATTCCTTTCCCTAAAAGGGACAGACATGGCTGGACTACTCCTCCCTGTTTTCCCTTCAGTGTGGATATGGCTGCTGAAGCTTGAGACTTTGAGATAATAAACAACAAGCTCAAGGATCAAGGCAAACATGCCAAGGACGGTGGAACACAAAGATGAAAAGACAAAAGAACAGAAAGAGGCAGGGTCCCTGATGGCCTTGTCGGGCACCTGAACTAACCTCAGCAATGACAAATCTCGGGCTTTTTGTCCAACAAAAACAGTCCCCTATTCGTTTAAGCTATTATTTGTCAGTTTTCTTTTACTTGCTGCCAAAATCATTCCTATCTGATATAGGTATATTCTTGAAAACACATACAGCTGAATTTTTCAAGCCAATCTGATACAGGCTTGGTCTTTCCTGAATTCGGTTTCCTGAATTTGGTGTCATGTCTACTCTTTATGTTGGGTTTACTATTTATTAGACTATTTGTTCCTTCTCCCTTTCCTTCATTTTGATGGCTTGTTCACATTTCTATTTATTTCCCTTTCATTCTCTGTGAATGTTGAGGATCTATTTTCTAATTGTACTACTTGTTATACATAGTTCTATTTCTAGTAGTTATATTCATTCCTACATTTTCTATAATTATATTGTAATAATATCTCCCCCAGATTTTTTTTGCTGCCCTCTCTGAATCATTGTATGTCTGAAAATATACATTTTTTTCCTTAACAGATAAATGATATCTTGATCACATATAGAATTTTTGGCTTGTAATTTTTTTCTCTCAGTAGCCTATAAACAGTTTTCATAGTCTCTGGCTGTCAGTGTTGCTGATGAGAAGTCTAGTATAATTATCTCTCTCTCTTTTTAGAAAATAGCTTGTTCTGGTAGCCTGTAAGATTTTCTCTCTATACCTAAATTTCAGAATACAATCAACGTATATCTGGGCCTGTGTGCCCTCACTTGCCCCCACTAATCCTCCTGTATGTTTGGTACCCTTTCAATCTGCAAATTATAGTTTTTTTCAGCTCAAGAAAAATTTCTTCTATTACCTTTTCTCTTTCTGCAACTTCTGTTATTTACACGTTAGGTCTCCTAGATGTCCCCTCCACCCCCATGCAATTACCATCTCTGTGTTTCTGGTCTGAATTGTAAGATATTTCTTCCATTTGCTCTTCCAGAGCATTCATTCAGTCCTCAGCAGTGACCATTCTTTCTCCCTTTTCTCGGTTTGTTTACTGAATTCTTATATTTAGAAATCATGGGATGTTTTTTAAGTTCTAAAAGTTACTTTTGCACTTAAAATTCAGTTCCTGAAATATCATTTCCTGGCTTGTCTGTTAAAACTCTCTCCTAGCTCTTCCATTAGTTTTACCTCAGTAGGAGTCTCATATTGTAATTTTTCAACCTGGACTTTCTCGGCAGTGGCAAATGAGGCAGCTCCGAAAGGCCCAGCAAGGAGTGACGTTTTCATGGTCCAGCAGAGCCCCAAATTGACAAAGCACAGAGATGAAGAAAGACCCTGTGCTATGGGGCTTGTCGAGGGCACAAGAACTGAAAGCAATTCAGCTCATCGCTACAGCCCCTCCAGGGACTTTACACAGAAAGCCGGCCCACAGCTCCTGCTGACTGGTTGACCTCAGAGGACTACACATTTGGGGCCTTTGTTCTCCAGAAGAGGCAAGCAATTTCCTCTGTTGGTTCCCTGCTTCTCACTGAGAACCAGAGAAAACGCGTCCGGTGCCTGCTCTTTCCCCTGAAGATGTCAGGAAAACTGGAGGCCTTCATGCACTTTCCTGGTTTTAGGGCAGGCTCAGCTGGGTTTATTCAGAGAGGGAACTTAAGTGCTCAGGCTGTCATCTCCTCAGAAACCCCTTCCTTGCATTCACATGCACTTAAAAATATATATATATTTTGTCTTTTTTGATTTTAGAGAGAGAGGAAGGTAGAGGGAGCTAGAAACATTGATGAGAGAGAACATGCCTCCTGCATGCCCCCCACTGAGGATCTGGCCCATAACCTGGCCATGTGCCCTGACCAGGAATCGAACTGGCTACTTCTTGGTGCATGGGCCGACAACCACTAAGCCACACCGGTTGGGCCACATGTACTTTAAAAGAATATATTTTCTAATCACGAAATTAATTTAAGCTTATTCTGTGAAAATTGGGAAAAGAAAACAGAGAAAGAAATAAAACACAGAGAAGAGAAAAACCTATGTATAATCCCACCAGTATAACTTCTTCATATTTTGGCATACATCATTCTAGTCTTATAAATGTATGTGTGTGTGTATGTGTATGACTATATACATAATTGTAAATATACCCACCCACTATATCTTAACATTTTTCTCTGAAGTGATATATCGTGAACATTTCCCTATATCGGTAATATTGATGAGACATCATTTTTTATAGCTGCATACTATTTGATTGTATGGTTACTCTATAGATCTTTTATCGTCTATTGTGGATCGTTAGGTTGCTTACAATTTTGCATTATAATGTATTCTGGATAATATCTTGTGTTCTTTACACATGTATAATTGTGTCAATAAGGTGGAACTGCTTAGGGGAACAATGCACATCTTGAAGGTAATTTTAAGATCAGATCCCCAATTTCCCTCCGGAAAGGTGTAACCAATTAAAACTCCTACTAATAACCAATTTATATCTTCTACCCTCCCTCTCACTACACCACACCAAACCCAAATATTATCTTTAAAAGTATCTTTGATGATTTGATAATGAAAAAGGATCTCATTTAGTTTGCATTTCTTTGATTACTGACCATAATGAACAATTTTTGTTTACGGACCAATTGTATTATTTATTTTGAGACATGCCTGTTCATATCCTTTGCTCATGTTATTTGGGATTTATGATTTATGACTTATGGGATTAAAGATTAATGACTTTTTGTTCTCAATCTTGACTGTCTTCATAATGAATAATCCCCCTTTGCCATTCTCAGTGATTTTTACCTGAACTTCTAGTACTTTGACTGAATTAATATTGTAACCTGTTTTCTTTTTGCTTATACTTGTGGGATGTCTTTTTGCTCATCTTTTTACTTTTACCTATTCTGAGTTACTCTGTTTTGAATATGTCTGTAGATAGCATGTGGGTAGCATTTGTTTGTTATTTTTAACCCATGGTAACGATCGGTTTAGAAATTTGTATTTGATACCTAAAAAGAATATATAACAAATATATTTGTTATCAAGCAAGGTAGTTAAATCCATTTATATTTATTATTGGCTCTTTTCCAGGTCTCTGGTTCTCCTTTTGTCTTTCCATTGCTTTGTCTGCTAGTGGTCCTTTAACTCTATCCATACATCCAACTGGCCACGAATGTTATAAAGATGGGAAAGGCCTCTGACAACTCGCATCAAATACATGGGTTCTTTAGTTGCTACATGGGAATGACGGAGATATCATTTAACAAAAAAGATGACGTTTTGGGTCATTTCACATCTTTAAGTAACTGGCTGCACACATACCGTCATAGGCTCTTATTAAGGACATTTGTCCAGAATGTGACAGACAGGCAGCTGCTGCAGTTTTGCTGAGTGCACAGTCCCCATCAGCACTGACCTTCTGTAGCCCTCCGTTCTCCTCCACCAGTGGTGGCAGCACGCTGGGGCTGCCGGGGGGCGGGGCCTCCACATTATAGTCTCGGAAGCAGCAGAAGAAAGAGCTGAGGATGCTGCGGCTCCTCTGCTTCTTTAGGCTGACGTTACACTGGGAAGCTGGAAAGAGAAACGCAGCACACTGTGGCCAAGGGCAGCTCGTACTCATAGTTGCAATGCAACACGAAAGCGCGAATGGGCAGTTGCCCCCACCTCACCCCAACTCCAGCCCTGATACCAGGAGAGCTATTCAGGACAAGAAGATGAGGAGCCCCAGGAAGTTACTCTAAGGATTGTTATTTGACATGTGAACCCTAGAAGGCCAGCTGGTCGATGGAGTCCAATCCTGCTGGCTGGACAGAATTCCTCTGACCTCAGCCCAGTGGGGGCTGCTTGCTCATTACGTGACCCATCCTTAGGGTCAGGCACCATCTGCATTCCTGAACCCTGCAGAGAAAGTCTTCTGACCCCGCACCCAGCACTCCTTCAAAACAAAGATCCTTTAAGGCACAAATCGGGCTTGACACTCTCTGAGAAGCAGTTCCCTGGGAAGGGTACCAAGAGTCACTTTGAAACTCGGTTCTTTAGATACACCTCGCTCACCATGGAAATGACTAATTTCATGGGTTAAGAAATAAGATGTGTAAGGGCACAAGGGAGCCACCTTCCTCAACTCAGACGGGAAACGGACCAGAGCCTGGACTCACAGAGCTCAGGGCTGAAGGCTTCCATTACACTGAAAACATACACAGCAGGAAATGGGCCACAGAGAACATGGGCGCTGGCCTGAGCGGGGCTGGCCAGGCAAAGCCATCTTCATGAGACCCGGGGCCGTCTGTGCCATGGACTTGCTCCCTGGGGGGAGTGATGGACCCTTTCTGTTATCCGGGGTGCAAGACAAGCTGCCACAAGTCAGAAATAGAAGGTATAAACTAGTATAGATGGAAAAAAAACACACCTCAGGGGAGGAAACTGACCAGTTGAAGGGACAGGAGGGTTTTGCCCGGGAATGCACACCATGGCTGGGTGGTCTGCAGAGCTCTGAGAGGAGGCCACTGCAAAGGGACATGCTGAAGGGTTAATGGGAAAACCACCAATGATTTAAGTCCACACGATAACTGTTGGAGTTTCTCTCTCCCAAAAAGCAATTCTGGCACGATTCCTATTTTTGAACACTTGAGTGATTTGTATAGCACCTTCCCTCTCAAGAGATTTCAAGACCTTTGCTAAACGTCTCGGGGTACTCTCCTGCTGGCAGCAACGCAAATGCATTCAGACGGAAATTCTGAGAAAGGGTGGAAAAGCTGTTTTGCCAGCAACTCTCTTTGTACGGATGGTCTCTAGCTTGTGTTTGGGCAAATGGCCCAGGACGTGTGGATTTAGGATCCTTACTTATTCACTGAAGATGAGCTTTAGAACCATAAATCCCTGCAGGAGCTAGCTGTTTTATCTCCTTGTGAATCTCTGAGCGCACGTCACAGGGTACCGATTCAGACCAGGCCACCGGAAACCAGGCCGTCCTCGCAGCAGCGCTGGGAAGCGATAATGACCACTGTTCACCGAGGACCAGCCCTCTTAATGCCAGGACTTCATAGCCCTCAACTCATGTCGTCCTTTCAGCTACCCGAGGACATGGGTGTTGCTGCTTCTGTACCACTGCCGAGAAAACACGGGTGGTCATGGCGTGTGCCAGGATCCAAACCCATTTCCAGGGTGTGTGCTCTCTGCATGTGCCATGCCACAGACAGTCTTGAAACAACTCAGGTCAGATTAAGAAGGAGAGGAGGAAAAAGGCCAAATGGAGAGAAAACTACCGCAATAAACTCACATTTAATATAAATGGTCGTTTGAACTGTTTTGTTGTTACATTGGGTGTTTCTGTTTTTGTGCCATACTCAAATAATTTAGTCAGAGAAGGAAAAAAAGAAAATTCTTCTGCCCTGGGTGGTGTGGCTCAAGCTTCATCTATACACCAGAGGGTCACTGGTTTGATTCCTGGTCAGGGTGCATACCCAGGTTGCGGGTTTGATCCTTGGTCAGGGCACGAGCAAAAGGCGACCGATCAATGTTTCTCTCTCACATGGATGTTTCTCTCTCCATCTCCCTCTAAAATCAATGAAAAACATCCTCGGGTGAGGATAAAAACAAAAACAAAAAACAACTCTCTCTTTTCTGGCCAACAGCACATTTCTCTTCAAGTAAACAAGCTATCTGTTCATGCCTCAGAGACACGGAGCAGATAATACCCAGGTTGGGCCCCAAACAGCTCCGAAAAAAAGTACCTTCCCAGATTTAATTTTCATTGTCGGATCACATAAATCTACCTATAACTAACTAATTAACAAACTAACTTACAAGTTAAAAAAAAATCCTAAACCTGGAGCCAGTGAGCTACTTACAATTTCTACCATATGATTACTTACCATGTAGAGGCCATAAATAGACTGAGAGTTACTGAATGAGCTGAGTCACCTGGGAGCCCATGGTGCCCGAAGGGAAATGGCAGCCTACCCAGGCTCTCTCTACTCTGAACGAAGAGCTGAAGCAGCCCAAGCGGTCTCACTTCCAAGGCTGTGGCAGGGTCCAGGCCTCTTCCTGCTAACTACAGTTAATTCTAGGTCCTGCAGGGATCTCTGGGAGGCTGGGGGCTTTCTAATTTCCTAGTCATTCTGGGATGGGACTGATGCTGTCAAATCAGGCCAGTGGAAAATGGATGGATTTCCTCAGGTCCAGCACTGGCCTCACCCCACCCTCAGGGCTCACTTGTTTCTCAGAGGGGCTCAAGATACTGGCTGCCTGAATTGTAAGGACCTTATTACCTTCCACCCCAGCTGCTGCCTCTCCTCTAGCTACAGTCTGATAAAAAGATTTTGGTTGATACATGAAATTAAAGCTCATATTTTAAGGGACAAATGTTTATATTATAACATTAGATCAGAAAAGCCAGATAAATTGCATATCTGACTTGATTAGAACTGTGCAAAAACAAATGAAAAGAGATTATAAACAAGAAATGATTGTCAAAAATATAGCAAAATGTTAACAGTGACTGTCAGGCTCTGGGTGCTCACAATTCTTCCTTCTCTATTTCCCAAATGTTTTATGGCAATCATGTGTAGTATTCTAACAAATGGGAGAGCAGTCATGTTGTTAAGCTTTCTTTTGGCAACTTGGTGATGCTCAGGAGAAACCATGTCCTACTTCTAAATCTAAACCTTTAGGCTTACTTTTTATGCTTTTCCACTCCATGCCCGTGAAGCAAACACCAGGCAACAGCAGTGTTGTTAAAGGCCTTTCAGGAAGTAAATGTCACGACTGTCATGGCCCACACCCCGTCCTGGACTGTGACTATCTCCAATGTGCCAACCTCAAAACCAGAGGAGGCTCATGTGAAAAGAAGGCACCCTATAAGTGTCTCTCCCCAGCAGAATGCTCCCCCTGGCTTTCGCATCTGGCAGCCCTACCCAACCCCCAACCTCCTCGTACACACAAATGCCGTCCAGTTTCTTCTTTGTTTTTCATCAGGACTGGGCCTCTCCCCACCTTTCTTCAACCGCCATGAATCCTCCTACTGATCACATACACACGAGAGAGGGCTCCTGGTGGCTCAGGTGTCCAGAAACAAGGTCTGCATCAGGACGGTAGGAGTATGATATTAACACATTGCGCACCGCATAGAAATCTCTAAGACAGACGCCAGGGACCGCAGGTCTTTGGGCAAACTGCACGTTAGGGTCTGAGCTGCACTCATTTGAACCAGCAGATATCCATTCCCTAGCTACTTCAAGAATATAGAACGGTGTGCTGTTTTGCGAACTTCAACCCTCAGGGCGAAGAGTCACAAATACAATAATCCTATATTACCCCGAGTTTCAAAAATTAAAATAGCTAATGCAAGTGCAAACCTGAGTTAACTCATGCGCGGTCCGCAACGTTTGGGCAGGAAAACACGAGTTAACTTGTGAGCGGTCAAAAATGTGTTAGAGAGAGTTTAATGCACACACCTTCCTGTTACGTGGGTTTTAAGAATACGTCGGGGGAGTCAAGGAAGTAGCAACTTTGAACATCAGTCTAGAACATGACATAAAGATTTTCATTTTTAAAAATCAGACTTAGGAAGAAAAAGTCATCGACAATCATTCCAAAGCTTTCTGCTTTTCCCCATAACCTCCCACTCATATCCACACCTACACTTGCCCACTTCACTCCTGGTTTCCTCCCTGGTAGACTCCCCATCACACTGACATCCCACCGCCCACTCCTCCTGTCCTCATATCCCCACTTCTCAGAACATTCCTGTTCCTTGGGGGCTGGTTCGGAGCCTCTCTCTCAGAGAGAGCCCAGTCCAGTGGAAGGGATTTGCTCCTTGGTTACTGAATTGCCAAGTGAATATATGCATGTCTGAGGTATGTCTTTAGCTCATTCCGCTCTCTTGACTTCCAGGCCACCCACCTCCTGTCTAAAAATCTACCCTTCTCCCTTTCATCAAGTTGTTGGTTTTGATATCCTTAACAGCTCTTAAATCTATCCTCAACAATTCCCTGTCCCTGTTATATCCCAGCTGAGGCCCTCATCATTTTGTCCCTGGTCAACTATAATAGCTTTTTGACTTGTTTTGTAGTTGATCTTGTACCCTGTAATGAATTATCATCACGGCCCACTGAGGGAAAGCCCGAGTGGACAGACTGGTTGCTCTGAGCATGGGCTCTGAAGTCAGAGCTTAGGTGTAGAATGCTGGCTTGACCGGCAACAGCACAGGACCTAGGCTAAGCTATGGCTTTTCTGTGTTTCGGTTTCCTTACCTGTGAAACGGGGATAATAAAGGTACTCATCTACAGGCAGCTGTGCGAGAAACATGAGTTATTGTAAAGCATCAGAACAGTGTCTAGAACTGGGCAAGCACCTCATAAATGCTAGCTCTTGTTATTATCATTAGTCTCTTCAAAGCTTTTGCTTTTTAAAGGAGTGAGGGTTCTGAAGGTAAATCCTGAATCAAAGGCTGGATTCTGTGGGTAAATCTTTTTTCCTTGGCATCTGACGACTAGGAAGCCTAACTTACTATAACAGACCTTGGTTACATAAATTGTAATTTAGAAAGCAACACTAGAAATAAAGCTGGG